AAAGCTTCCACCTTGGTCTGCCAGGAAACCCCATCCTCATCTGTAGCATGCACGCCATGCTTCATCAAAAGTCAGCTCAAGGACCTTCAAGCTGTGATTGGCTTACACAACAATAACCTCACCATAGAATTTCCAAGATACCCTTTCTTGTTTGTCTGTTTGTTTGTTTTTCGATATAGTTTGGGTTTGTTTTAGAGACGGGCACTGCGATTAGAATAGACGGAGTTGGATACTGCTTTCGTGACTTTCTGCGTCGCGTTGAAGTTCTAAAATATTACCCGTCGAGAATTTTGGAATTCTGGGGGTGAGTAAATATTAGAATTACATAGATTAGAGAAAAAATCAGCTTATTATTCACATATTTAGTTCTAGATAGAATGCGACCAAAGTTGAGCTGTGAGTCTTGTACCTTGAATTGAAGTCATTCGCCGACTAGGATATAAGCTGACTCGACTCGTCTTGCACCTTGCAGTAATCTTACGACTGAGTTACCCCTGCCTCGTTTTGTCGCCCTCTGAAGATCCTCACGCCGCCCGGGCTCAGAAACTATCATTGTGGCTCTCCTCCATGGTGAAATTACATGCCTCGTTGCCATCATGGCAGGAAGCTGACTCTTTTTTTTTTTCTTTTTTTTTTTTTTTTGGGGGGGGGGGGCTGGTCTTCAGGATCACGGAAGTTTGCGACAGACCTACGCTTAACGCAGCGTGTATGGCTCGGAAGACTTTTTCGGATGTGTCTTTGCGTTATGTGTAATTCTGATTGTATTCATTACTCATTATATGTCTGTCGTGCTGTACCTACCTACCTAGCGAGCGGTATTTCCGACCCACTCGCCACGGATCATCATGAGTCCGTCAAATTGTGTACTGTATCATCTCAAAATATTCACCCAGGTTCAATCCATCCAAATTCCATCATCACTAGTAAAAAGAATCATTAAGTCATAAGTATTCGTTCAACTTCTGTTTGGGTGAATATTTCGAGATAATGCCTTGTCAAGGGCCAAACCAGCCAGGATCGTCCACATTGTAGTGCGTGTAATAAGCTTCGGCTATGAAAGAAGAATGTTCCCTGTTCTAGGACATTTCTTCTCTCTCTCTATTCTTTACTGTTCTTCCTTCTTTTTTTTGGCTTTGAATTGCCTAGTTTCTCTTTTTCATCCCAAAGAAACTCTGCTTGTTTTCCTAATCATTAGATAGCTGAAGTTGGGTTGTTGCAGCTGAGTACGTGCTTGCGATGATTGTCAACATTAAGCTCCTTGTTCCCGCAAGAGCAAGTGAAGCGCCTCTCAAGATACCGCTGGCAGCTCCTGATGTGTGACAGATGGTGATCCCGTCGGGAGATCTTCGATCCGCAGGAACAATGATACCTTGGTCCCCAAGGAGTCAAATGTGTCCTCGCGGTTTTGCGGTGTTTGAGCAGCGCTCTCTCTGAGCCGAAGGTTCTTTGATTACAAGCAGGGAGATCACAGATATAAGGTCTCCCATGCCTGTCTTCTATGTGCTTTCTGTAAACAATTAGCAACTATGTTGTGTAGAATATCAAGCGTAGAATATCAAACGGATGACTTACTCTAGCGTCGCTTTGTCCCGGTGACCGAACAGGCAAGAAGGACATCTGAAGACAGGCTGGCTTGCGATTTTTATAGGTTGCAAAGAATAATCTGATGCCTGAGACGTTGAAGAACGGTATGACGGGGTGCCTGTAGACGCCGGGGAGTCGAGAAAGCACTCTCGAAGCTGCCGTTGCTCTTGCCGAGGCTTCTCATCTTGAGCTTGAATTTGTTTGTCCCACTCCGTACTCGTTGCTTGCATGATCACAGCGGGATCGGGCGTGCTCACTGGCAATATTGCTTGGCTCATGGCATTGAAAGACTCTTGCGTGATAGCGAGTTCCGGCCACGGCGAACTTATCGTGAGGGGTTCGGCGTTAAACCCCCGAAATAATGGTGAAGTGGGCGTGATTGAGGAAGTCAGGCTATCTTGGGCTGATGACCCAGTGTTCTTGGCAAAGAGCTCACAAGGGTCAGCCGGGATGATTGACGAAGAGCTGGGAGTTAATGCCGATTCTGGAGCAAGGTGGTTTGACCACGCGACTGAGTTGAAATCGCAACTGTGTGTTGGCCATCCCATGGATGGAGGGTCACCAATGTCATAAGTTTGGTAACTGTCCTCCTGTGATGGACCCCACTGTGAATGAAAGCCTTCTTGATATGAGCATATTGGGCTGTTGTGGTGTTGAGAAAACCAAAGAGAAGGATATTGTGAGTTAGGCTGCGAAGGGAGATACACACAGGACTCGATCCAGTTGGGGCATAGCGTGCTGCTTGCAATGTCAAAGCCTACCGAAGAATTGGAAGCTGAGTCTCCAAAGTCTTCGGTCCAGCTTGTTGTGTTGCACGCAACGGAGCCCCCAGAAACAGGTACGAGTCCATTACAATGAGGGCGACAGTCCTGACGGCTGTCCCCTTGGGCAAATTGCTTTAGGTGATGATCATTTTGGCTCTCTGGAATATTCTAAGCCCCGAATGTTCGGGGCACGAGTATCCCTGAAAAGCCTATTCGTTAAGATGTTTTGTTTTGTGACTTGAATTACACATACACGATGTGTCAGCGGCAAGACTTCGAATGACTGATGCCGACTTAGTATGTTAGTTGTGTCGATTAAGTTGGATTTGCTTCCTACAGTGTATCAATTGAGAAGCAATGTTCTAGCTCAATTGACACACTGTTATGGGTGGAGGAGTCGTATGTGTCCAGGCGGCTTAGAGGTCAAAGGGGAGTTGCAGGTTCCGAAGGGCCTTGCAATGTGGCCCGTGGGGCTTCATCGCCCTCGGATAAATGGTGAAAAGAAAGAGATTTTCGGAGAGAAGTTGGAGCCTGAGGTGAGGGGTTTTATGAAGCAACATTATTTGTTACCCTCACTCCTCACAAGTACTGTGACTCCTCGATACTTGGCCTTCTGCGTTTTTTTTCTTTTGGGCCACCAATGGGAGTGCATGAGCCCCATGCTTCGCCCAGTTTCTTCTGCCACCTACGTCTGCTATGCATTAAGCTGGGGCATGGGCCACCAATGATAGCGGTTTTAGGGTTGTAGTCGGTGTCAGCACTTCAGAATGAGGGCGGTTTGATGCCTCGGGCTACGGGGCCAGTTCATGGCTGGAGACGAAGGAATCTAACTGTAGCGTGGGCCACGAATGACGGCTCTTCCATTTGGGCTCGGTTTCAGAATGAAGAGGCGCAAGGTTTTGGGCCACCAACCAGTTGATTAGGTAGTTGGAATATCCGAGGGCCACCAATGGCTTGCCATCGAGGCGTGGCCTCCAACGGGTCATCACCTACTCAGCGACAGCTGCGATCTAGGTCAACCAATGCACCGACAAATGGGCCACCTATGGTTTGAGCATGAGCATGTAAGTTGAGCAGATCATGGTGTCCTTTGTACAGCATGTAGGACTTCGTGTGTGACTGAGGGCTCAAGGTAAATTCGTTATAAAAGGTCGCCATTGTCGCTAGGCTTGGACCGCGGAAATATTTGGCAAGTAGGATTATACATTTCATCTAACCAGAATCACATTCATACAGTTATAGACATGTCCTCCCAAATTTCAACAGACCCGCATAGTGGTCATCAGCAGCTTCACATGCACACCCCCGGAGCCCATGCATCAACAGAACCCAAAACAATCACGGAAGATCCCAACAAGGTGGTATGTTACCCACATCTCTATTTAAAGAATGATAACAATCTAAAATGGCGAATCTTGTTGAACAGGCTGGGGCAAGCGGTCAATCTTCTGAAACGCCCTTGGAGCGCTACATTCGCCAGACACCCGATGAGGAGCCATGGAATCACGTCCGGGCTGGAGTGCACGATAATCGCAAGTGACTAGGAGAACACAGAGGATCACGTAGACAGCGACTTTTGATTACTTGAGAGTGGTCAAAGGAAGCACGGATTTGGGGCCTCTTGGAGACATGTTCTAATACATGTTGGTACTTTCAATATGCACGATTTCAGCCGTACTGCATAAGTCCCAAAGCGAAATTTGTGAACCTTCTGTAGCTGTCAGCAATGTAGCGCAGTTAAGACACCATTTCTAATATCCTTGTATTCAACAATCCGAGGTCTTTATTCACGCTGCCTGCGAAATGGTTGTACTCGTAGATTCCAACAAGGGTGAGTCCGACCAGATCAATGCCAATGACGTCGATATCTGAGCTTAATAGTGGATTTCGCGCCGTCGCAACGGATGATCGGCCGGCTGGTGTGATTAAGAAGCTACCGATGTAAAAGAGAAAGCATGCCGACCCCTCAAAGGGTGCTCGGGACTTTGTCCTTAAGTATGGTGAGGCGAATTATTGAGGGAGATCCAGAGGATTATAATGACGTGAAGAAATGGTCTGAAAGAGGTTTTGGCAATCAGAAACTCCGCATGGACCTGATTTCCCCTCATGTTTCTTCTAGGATGACCCAACTTAACCAGGAAACGGAAATTCCAGGCACAGAGCCTTAATAGAATCACTCCACAGTTCCCACGTCTGTTACGAGAGAAGAAGACAAGGCAATAACTTCAAATTTGGCAACCGAATATCCCAGAAATGAGGCTCAATTGAGAAGAACGCTACTTATATGTCTTGATTGAAACTTCAGTAATGGCAGGGGAAAATATGTTTCAAATCCAGACCCTAGATTGTAATTACGATTAATGTGCCTCATGTGTCACAGTGTAATGAAATGATAGATTTCTAGCCTCTACAATCTTGGGTTAAATAGATTCATGGGTTGGGAAAAGAACAGCTATATCTTACTCGGCATTCTTGAATTTATAAAATGAAAACCGTTGGCACAAACCGCTTCCTACTAACTGTTACACTCGGGTGCTGGTTTGAAAAGGGATAACTCCTCCATAACAGCTTTACATCACGAGTACTAAAATTTTGTTACTGTCGAATTTCCATGATGAGGTAGCTCTTTTATGAAACAATTGCCTCATACCCCTATTGCTTGTAAGGATTCCAGAAAAGCCCGTCCACATCCCAACGATCCTTGAGGTCGCGGAGCTGGCTCAATCTCTCCCTACTAAATAGTTCCTCCAAGTTCATCCCAAATCGGAGATTGTTTGGGAAACTTCTCGGCACTGACTCTAGGTCACCCTCCCTGAATCTTTTCATAAGAGTGTCCATGTACTCTACCAGAGCCACCCTCGTGTTATCCTCTGAGCAGATCGTCACGGTCATGATCGAGAACTCTCTTTCTCTTCCTTCCACAAACCTGTCAGTGGCTCCCGAATTCCCAAGCTGGACAGCCTTTGTGCTGTCAGACAGTCCAACAACCAAAATACTCCTCCGGCTGTCTGGATACTTCTCAGTCACGGACACCCACTGCTCAAAAGCGCTTTTGATAGATGAGATGTCCAAATTGTTCAGCCGGCAAGAAGCGATAGCTTTGTGCCCACCACGAGAATCATATGGCGCGTAACGATCGTTGAGGTTTACTATCGGTGTTGCCTCAGTATTCTTCACGATTGCCTTTCCGACAAGCTCGTCGTCGAACAGAATAGAAGCATGTCCCTCTCCTTGCTCAGCGGATGCGAAGACAGTGGCACCCAAGACTATGATTGGCGAACCAGCAGCTGGAGTTCCGGGTGGACTGCGCATGAACAACACATTGATGCTTGCGGAGGATGCAGGGCGCTGCATCTTAAGAAAAGCTTCAGCCGCAATTTCAATTGCTGTGGGTGGAAACACGAGCGAACGAATCCAAATTTTGTCGTCCGTCATATTCAAGTCCTTGATGGGGAAGGCTGATGTTTTCACGGCTGTTATAACGCCAAGGCCATGGCCTGCGCCGCAGAGTGCATTGAAAAGGGCCAAATCCTCTCCCGTTGAAGAGGAGCTGACCTCAATCATCTTTCCCTCGGCGGTTGCAAGGCGGAAAGACTCGACCAAATCGGCCATCCACCCATGAGTTCCAATGAGAGGCGTATTCCCGCCGCCAATGATGCATCCTACCACGCCGACAGCGTTGGAATTCGGCAGGGGAGTGTAATAACCTTGATCTGCCAAAGCCTTCAAGGCTTCTCCGGTTGTCACCCCACCACCGATCTCAACTATTCCCGTACTTTTGTCCAGCTTGATTGCCTTGAAGTTCGCCATGTCCAAGTAGAGAGCATTGGAATCAAGGGTGACGAAGGTTCCGTGACCTCCACCGCCGACTGTGATAGTTAAACCATTGCTTTTAGCAATCTTGATAGATGTTTGCACATCATCTTCTGTTGTCGGCTTTACAATCAGGCTGGGCTGGTCGATATTAGTATCTGACCAACGAACGACCCCGTTCAGAGGTGTGCCCGGTCCAGGCACGGCGAATTCGCATTTGATCGAGTCAAGTCCAGATAGCGTGGGCGTCATGATACCGGTTATGCCGACGAATTTCTGAAATAAATTGAATGTATGATGATATCCTCCCAGTGCGAGATGACACGTTTTATAAAGGCTTGGTGGTGGTCCGAGATACCCGAGCGTAAGCACTTGTGGCTAGGGACCCTGGAGGGAGTGAGATTCTCAGCTTTTAGCGGTGTGTTCGAGTTGGTGATCGTACAGTCGTGTGTTTTTGCATGCCTTTCACCGATAATTCAATAATAAAGAGCCTTTCATCTTCAGTAGATGATTGATTATCTAGTAGGCAAGGTTGTCGATCGAGGGAATGCGATCAAACTGGAGCATTGGTTTAGCGTTGCCCATGTCAAAGTTGCCCCTCTTTCACTAGCGTGCTGAAAATAACCTCCACTTATAAAGAGCTTAGTTTAGCGTGTGAGGTAAATCTATATTCGTCTTATTACCGGAGCGATTCTAAAAGCTTAGGACCCGTACTTCAGAAGCCACCAAATTGCATCCGCGGAACAAGGTGTATAATACGATAACATGCTTCATAGTCGACTCTTTTAGGGTATACGCGTGACCCTTTCGAACTAAAGACCATCTAAGCCAGATAGACTGGCTTGGACCACTATGTTGCGGTAGTAGCTCTCGTTTCCTTATACTTCTCTCTGAGTCACGGCGACTGTTTTATTCGCACTTCCCTCCGATGCTTCTTCAGTTTCTTCAGACTCATCATCTTCGGTGTCCAGTTTCGTCGAGCGGGTATGCTGCAAGTAGGCAAGTCCTAGAGACGTCAAAGTGTGAAGAATAGCAAACGCTGCAGAACCATAGTTTCCAGCTACGACTGCCGGCTGGTCGACAGTCTGGAATATAGCCAGAGGTATGACGGCATGCGAGAGCGACGCCCAAACATTCAAACCGGCGGAAGCAAACGCCCGGGTTGCAGGGTCTCCAACCAAAGTGTCCTGAGTCCAGGCCCAAAACATTGAGTTACTGGCTTGGCAAAATCCCGTGAGATAGTACAGGAACCATCTTCCAGCGCGGTTCTCGGGGAACACAGACGTGCTAGCAAGGGTCAGGTCGACAATAGCAGCCACGGTACTACCCACGACGAGCATAGGCCACCGGCGACCACGGAGCCAGGTATCGCTTGACCACGCCATCAAGAGGGTGACCACAACGGTTACGCCCTGAATTGGGGTTGTGTAGTTGTCTAATAGACGAGGTCAGTAAACCGAAGAAAAGAAATCAGGACCTAGAAAAAAGCGTACTAATTTGAGGGACAGTGTATGATCCAGGTTTAATCTTGTTCCATTCCTTGAGCCAAAAAGCCATGGAATTCATAGGCTGGTCTACGACCGCGTTGGCACTACTACTGTTAGTGTCTCATCATCACGGTGGCACAACCAACATACAAAGAAATAATCCAGAGCAACCACTGTAATCATGTTAGTATGTCTCAACTGAAGAGGGTTCATGTCATAAAACTAACAATGTCAAGAGTCAAGAACCATCGCTTGACTTGCGCCAAGGTAAAGGCACCTTGCTTAACTCTGCCTTCCTTAGGGTTTCTGTTTCGGGCCAGCTCAATTTCCTTGTAGAAGTCAGTGGTCGGAGAGTTTCTTGTTCTTTGGAGGCACGACATACCCGCTCGGTGAAGACTAGATCTGGCTTTTGCCGCGCTGGGACGTCAGGATAGAAGAAGAACTGCGGTATGATGATACCGAGTGAAATCACACCTATAAGATAAATTAACATTAAAACATGGTAGATCAGATCCTTTATCTCAACGAACCGTCAATTATAAACAACCACTGCCAGCCAGCTTTGCCATGAACACCATTCAATCCAGTATAGGCCGCAGCTTGGAGATAGCTTGAGAACATAGGTCCGATGGCCGTTGTGATGTTGATGATTGCTAGGCGGCGGGCCAACTCTCGCTTCTGGTACCATGCGCCACAGAGATAGACCACAGCTGAGTAATGGCCAGTCTCGAAGATGGCGAGAATAGCTCGAAGGGCATACATGTGGCTTGGCTTCGTCATAACGGACTGAAGAAACGTGATGACGGTCCACCCCAGCTCAAGGAAGGGAATAAACCACCGTGGATTCACTCGCGTCAATATGAGGTTACTAGGCCAAAGGGCGATAATCTGATTGCTCGGTCAATTATTGTAATCGAAGTGATGGAACAGTCAGAAGATGTATGTATCCTACATTGGCAATCGAATAAGCGGTATTGGCGTAATTGAGTTCCTATTCCTCGGTGTAAGCCACGGTCATTGAGATATCACAGTATTCACTCACGTTTCCGTATAAGGACAAGTCTTCTTTCATACCACTAACAAATGCGCTCTGTAAATTGGACCTACTCGGGTTAGTTTACATTTCGTTTAGAGACTTGTGCTTCGCAACTAACTTGTCAAGATACTTGATGAATGTGCCCAAGCAACCAAATGTCATAAGTGTCAAATCCATCTTCAGCACAAGTTTCCGCTCCTAATTATTTACACCGTTTTAGTTTTGTTCAAGGATGTATTCCATTATCATGAGGCGTATGCTTACCTCTGGTGTCCGATCCCAAGAGTCCCAAATGTAACCTCTCCACGTGCTCTTTTGCTTCGAAACGGGCTCATTTTCGGGAAGAGTTGTGCGGGCTTGCGACCCTTCCCCCGGATGAGTTGAGATGATGGGTTCCGACACGGCCATGTTGACAACAGATCTGCTAAACAAAGCCCATTACTGGGCAAATTGGTTATTCAACTCTGTGGACCGTTCATGCATCATTATATGCTTATCATCTTTGGTGGATACTTAACCCCAGTCAGCCAGCTCGTCATCTTAGCATAGAGCACGCTTTCGTAGGTCTGGCCAATCCTACGAATGGTATGATCCGAATCAGGCGTGATATGTTGTCTATTTCCGGGAATAGAATTCTCAATGTTACGCCCGTGGGATTGCAAGGGTTTGGATAAGTTCTTATTCTTCGCATCAGTTGAGGATGCACTTTTCGCTAAAAGACTTAGCCGAAGTTGGTGTCACGTCAAACAAACAGCTATGGCGTGACTGATTATTTCCATAATAGGACTGTGGACGGTCACAAATCCCAACGACGGTTCCTATATCCAGGCCTTGTTATTGCCCTATTGATGAAACTCAGCTAGGTCGCTATTCTAGAGTCCTGCACATTGGTATCGATTCTTTCAGACCTGCCAGTTCACAATGGCTGCTATTGCACCAGATTTAGTTTCTGACTCGTACATCGAGATATTTGAAATTCCCAATGAACGCAAGGTTCATGGAAAGTCATTCCCTCTGGGAGTTAAAGTCAAGGACGGTGCTCCGTTCAAGGGCTTAAACGATGCTATTACCCACATAGAATCGTTGGCTGACAGAGGCACATTCAACACTCTACTTCGTCGACGTGAGTCTGCTCTCGCTGCAAACGTTTATTGTGTTCGTTCTAAGCAAAATCATTAAGATGGAGCAATTCTATTTCGCGGGTTTCCAATAAAGACGGCAGAGGACTTTTCTTCTTTCACCAAGGTTTTCAAATACCCTCGACCGCACCAAGAAGTCGGTCTCTCAGGTAAAAGGACCACCGTCGGAGATAACATCAAGACTGCCAACGAAGAACCGCCGAACATCAAGTTCTATTATCACAATGAGTATGGGAGAAGCGCTCATTTTCCAGGAATTCTGTTCTTTTACTCCCAGCAGGTCCCAGAGCAAGGCAAGCGCCAGTAAGATATAGAGAGTCATTGTTTTAGTTGCTAACCCTCATCCAGGTGGCCAAACCCCTCTTTTATCGACGATAGAGTTATACGATAAGCTACTAGAACAGATTCCTAAATTTGTCGCCGACTTAATTGAGAAAGGTGAGCCATGATCTTGATAATAGTACCGCTCCAATGCTGGGTTTTAACATCAAGTCAAGGCATCACTGGTCGGCAATATTACCCTTCGAAGGAAGACCCCGAATCCAAAACCGTCGGCTGGAATTGGCAAGATTCATATGGCTTCGACATCTTGCCAGAAGATTCTCTTGAGACAAAGCGAAGGAAAGTTGAACATGTCCTGAAAACACGCCTGCAGGCCGACGCTGAATGGCAGGAAAACGGCGCCGTTCATGTTGTGCAGAGCCTTCCTGCATTTCGACGAATAGCCTCCACCAACCAAGTTGTGCCTTTCAACGGACTCGGCGGCGTATATGGGCGGCAAAGGGATAAAAAGGCGTTGGAGCCGCCACATAAAGGTACTGATGGCAACTACCATCTGCCTACGACATATGGTGACGGATCCCCAATTCCGAGGAAGTACCTGGAACGGTTATTGGAGATCTCGGACGAAATCGGCTTCTTGGTCCCGTGGGTAGAGGGGGATGTTGCTTTAGTCGACAACTACACAGTCCAGGTACGTATTGTGTTGCGCTCATTCTAGACTGGAATAGTTCAAGTGAGCTAACATTCATAGCACGCGCGGTCCCCTTGGGTAGGAAACCGCTCACTGTTGGTGAGCTTATGGGATGGCAATGAACACTTTGTGTCTGTTTAGATAAACTTTCCGCTACTATAACCAGTATAGCTCTATCCTCTCCCCAGAAAACAGATTCGTATATGCTTATTCTCTAAACCATGCGAACCCCTGATATCTGTTGCTCAAGGAGAAAAATACCTACCTTAATCACGCCTCCATCCATCACCTGATTTCATATGAATCAACACGTACAAGCTTAGTCCGGACGGAACCCTCCTCCTTTGACTTTGCAAAGGGACTCAGGGGCGTCCCAGGATACGGACTGAGAGGTGTATCTGGCTCTGGTTGGTAATCTGGGATAGCGTCGCGGTCCAACATGGCCATGAAATATTCCGCCTTGCGTTCACCGATGTGTCCGAACTTCAGAACCAAACTACCATCTGTCTCCGCCCACTTCTCTGACGACAAACCCGGGTTACTGCGCTCCGGGGAGAGTAGGGCTGTGGCCAGACGGCCCGTCGACGTCTGATTGTCCATCTCGCGCAGAGTGGTCACGATACCCCCGCGCGTTATCGCGACAATAGTCAAGGCCCAGATAACCACCACGAACAGCAGAACGAGTGTTATGATGCCCGGGATTGCGTAGCGGAGATCGTAATGGATAATGCGGCTGGAGGCGACGACTTGGGTGTGCGGAAATCCCATGAGCGGATCATTCACGCTGAGTCGGGCGGGATAGGCGATAGGAGTGTTTCGAATGGCCGTTTTGGTGCCGACAATGGTCGAGGCTAGGGCATCGGTGATCATGAGGCTGGGGATGTTCGATGCCAGCGTGTCGTTGACGGATAACTTGATAAACCGCTCAACTAACGAGTACGAGTTGCTCTCGGTATACGGGTCCATATTGGCCAGCGTATTGTACGCGTTGTAGAGCTCGAAGATCGGTGCTTGAATTCCTGCCAGGGAGTCCCATCCATCACGGGCGCCCAGCTCCCTCCCGGCATTGCCACTTCCCACTGGGAGCCAGAGCTGTTCTGAACGCATCGTGGAGAATCCCGGGGTGTTCTCGTATCTGTCATCCACCAAGCCCCAGAGCGGATCGTATGTCATTCTTTCAGGCGCGCTGGCCTCCACAGCCCACAGAGGCTTGGACTGCTCGTCGGGATATGCCTTGCCTGATATGCCTGTTACCTTTAAGTTTGGCAGTTTCCCGTCTGTCCCGTTGTACAGGAAATCAACCGACTTGATGCTGGTCTTCATCGCACTTGCGCAGATGTACATGTTCCTGTGAAAGGTCTGAAGCCCATTCATGGATTCTTTCATTATTCCACCTTCGGATTCCAGGCTCGAACGGCCAGCACCAAGGAGAAAGCCACATGAGACAGCTGCGTTGGTGACATTAGAAGCCCTTCGATCAATATCAGTGTTATCTATGTGCCAAAATCCTCGACATATTTGTTCTATGTACTGTTAGCGGGACGTCTCGATTGCACGTGCGCCTGGGTTGGAAGCATCCAAATACCTATCGCGGTGAAGTTGGAAGCAAATAGTTTCTTATACCCGTCGGGGTATCTGCTGGTGAAATTTCGGGGAACAGAAATATTTTGTGCCGACATTCTATAGCGGTAGAGGTCGGCGATAGTCTTTATTTCGTGTATTTGAATACCCTCTGGCTTGATGGTGCCGAAGAGCGAAATGTCGCCCCACAGCGTAGCATTTTGACTGAGGCTCGTAGTGACACTGATCTCGGGCAGAGTGTCATTTCCGGGACCCAGAGGAAGTGAAATATTCAGAATATCGGCCGCGAACACGTTGAACATTCTGGCAGCCTTGTGGGCATGGCCGAACAGGTCTAGTGATTGGTTATCAATCCAGGGCCGCGTCTCAAGTTCACCAAGATCGAGGTTCCGGAAAGCCCCACGATCAATAAGATAAACTTTTGTCTCTGACCCAAAATCTTCAACGGTGTCATTAACCCTGATCTCAACTGTGAGGTTGGTATCGGCGCAACGTGTTACTGGCTCGAACCAGGTGAGGTCCTCGCTCCAGGTTCCGCCTTGCCTAAGACCAATAGGAACAGTATGGTTTCGCAAGCCGATGCCCGGATTATTCCTCATGTCGACAATAAGTCCCTCTCTGATTGCAATATCTTCTAGAGGAATGAGGTTCTCGACAAAACGCTGAGCACCTTGGATCCGAGGTTCGCCGTTGTCAATGAGATCAACGTACGATGTCTTCCAACGGCGATACTGGATATCAAACAGGCCAGATACGGTGTCTCCAGCTTCATCAGTTGCACTGGAAAACATGGTCGTGAAGTTGGAGGGAATTTGAGTGTCGATGATTGAGTCCTCGTTCTGTTTAACGCTCCTCAATGTACCGTTGGGGAATTCTTTAAAATCGACACCATGGTACTGCCCGGGGCAGTTGAGCCTCCTCCCGACCTCACAATATCGCCCAAACCTGGTATCCGGACGGTCCATGGTGACTCTACCCCATACGGATTCGTCCTTTGCGTACTGGAAGTTGACCGGCGTCGCCGATCCATCGGGACCAACAAGCTCGCTTAGTCCAAGCGGTGTAAGAACACCAGCAAGCACCAGCAGCAGAGCGCCTGTCGTGATTGTCCAGAGGAGCGCTACGACAGAGGTAGAGCGGTTCCGAGCGCCGATGGAATCAGTCTGCAGGACCAGTGGCCATATCGTGTTCGAGATCGCTCGGTTGACGGACGACCTGTGGAGAAGACGGCGATCAGCTGTCGTTCAAAGAGTTCAGCTGTCAGTACTCGGGTGGGGGCTATTACCATGTTGCGGCAGTAGTTTCGTTGCCAACGACCTTGACGAGAATGATGACCAACGCGAGAGGGAGCGAATACTGGACTAGGTATTTGGTCAGTTACAGCCGCGCTGAAACTTCAGAGTCCACACATACCTATCATCACCCCGCCGGCGATGAGGCCGGAGGCTTGCGCGATAGTCAGCATCTTTAATTAAATGGCGGCGCTGTCTGTTGCACGCTAAAGTGACGCATGCGCGATGTTGTTGGCGGCGAGGAGAAGCGAAGGGCGGGATGAGGGGGAGTTTGCAATTATAGATCGTATAGATCGTAAAATCCATCAAAACCACAGGGTCACATTAGCCTTACGACCAGGCATCCATGTCGAATATTCTTGCTCCGCCATGATCCTGATTGCATGTCGGCTTCTGATTTGCGAAACACTGCCAAGCCATGCCAAGCCGTAGCATCAGAGGAGGAGAATGTGGGAACAAGGTTAAAGCAAGTAAAGCAAGAGGGGCGTGAGGCTGAACCTGATCCGCTAAGGCCTCCAATGCTTTATCCCTGTATCGGAGGGTGAGCCATCGGTTTCAAAGATGCCAAACGAGAAAGCTGCTCGCACAAGCAAAGAAGGGCATAGAGCTCAAAGAAAAAGGAAGAGAAGGCCTAGGTTAGAACCCGGCTCAACTAATATTTCGTCCGGTCCGCATTGCTGTACACCAGAAGACTTCGAGTGAACATTAGACTCTACCTAGTGACTAGGCAGACAAACAGGCAGACAAACAGCCTATTTTAGCCACTGTAGATCCTTACTTCTCATGGGTGTAAGAGTTCGAGTAGCTTCACTCACATAGTAAAAACAAGTAATGGAAAATGCCAGACCTGATAGCTCAACACAATGAATACGAAAGATCCTTTTATCTCATTGTCTATTGTTGATCAACACAAACCCCCTACCCCAGCACCAACGGATAACCTCCTGAAACCCGACTGACTCCCAGATCTCTCTTCAACAACCAAACTGACTAATGTTAAAGATGATTGAGCTGTTAATATCCAAATCACTTTGAAACCTGATTTCTAGTTTTTGACCGAAAGTTAGGATTACACTCAACATCACTCTGATGGGCAAGGCTTCCATCTTCCGAAACATAGATCTTGCTTCCGGAAGTCTGCTTACCGCTCCAGTTATCGGAAGTCTCCAGATACAGATAGGAACAAGATGAGCACACTCCCGTTGCATGTATAGCAGGATGCAGAGCCAAGAACAAGAACAAGAAATCAATTTCTACGGGATGATAACTCGTCTAAGCATTAAAATCAATGACGCACCTACCGGATACTCGACCTGTGCGTAGACGCTCGACAGCCTCAGGTAGCCGGTCGATGCCAAAGATTTCATACGCAGGCTTCAAGAGCCCCCGTGCAGCTAACGCCAATGCATCATTGGTGTCCTTCACCGTTCCAGTGAGTGTCCCAATGACCCTGATATTACGGAGAATCAGAAACATAGGATCATCACCCGCAAACGCCGTCCCAGTAGCTGGCATCCCAATACACATCACTCTGCCCCCAACACTCAATAGCTTTGGCGCGACAGCATAAGCGCTCTTGGATGTTGCCGTGACGAAGACACCGTCAACACCTCGGCCGCCAGAAACGCGCATCGTCTCCTCCACAATATCCGTGTCCACAAAGTCAATGAACGCATCACAGCCTAGCTGCATGCAGAGCTCTCGCTTAGCGCTGCCGGTGTCGATACCAAGAACACGAAGGCCCATGGCTTTCGCAAGCTGGACACCCATGTGGCCAACGCCGCCACCAGCTCCAAGAAATGCAGCCCAGTCTCCTGGACGCAGCTCTGAGTCCACAAGCTTACCACTGTTAGAATCTCCAACTTGCTAGACTCGATGCGGGTACTTACAGATCGATACATGGTCGACCCGCTACACATAATGGGACCTGCACTGAAATCGTCCACCCCTTCAGGAATTCGACTAGTATACCTCGCCGGGCTGACGATGTACTGCTGATATGTTCCTACATCCTAGTTAGTGATTGTCGACAGACCTTGGAGACTCGCGTAGTGTACCTGGGACCTTGAGCCCTGTAGGGGTAGCCTCGGGGCAATGACACTCCAGCCGACCCCAACAAAGTTGGCAGGACATGCAGGTATCCCATGTTGGTTTGATACCTGCGCGGTCACCTATCTTCCAATTCCTCACTTGCTCTCCTACCTTGACCACTACACCTGCGCCCTCATGGCCCGGAGACCTAACTCCATACTTCGACATTCGAGGGAGTGTCAGATCCTCTAGCATGTAATGAATATCACTATAGCACACGCCCGTTGCATTGAGTCTTATCAATAGCTGGCCAGGTCCTACACTGGTCAGTCCCACTCTGCATTGCGTGTCGGAGCAATTTGCATTGGATCCGAGGGTCTTACCAGGCTCAGGAACCGGAACTTCTTGAACTTCCAACTTGAAATTCGGCCCATATTCGATCACCACCCCGGCCTTGCAGGTTTTGGGAAGTAGCTCAAGAGAACTCATCTAGCCTGAATGACTCAAAGAGTAAATACCTTGTGTGTCACATGAGTCAAGATACAAGATAATACATGTGGATTTATAGTTGTCCTCCAACAACAGACCAATGCTCACAGCGAGACCGCCAACCGACGGGAGTTGTCAAAGCTCCGGTGGAATCCCACGCCACCGGAGGAGACAACCACTTGCTGATGCCGTAAACTGTGGGCCAGAGCCACGTCGAATGCCAGACCTGGGGTTCCCGCACCCGAAAACAACAACACCTACTTGAAATCTGGGGAATGGAGCTTGCGTGGAGCTATATCCCGGGACCCCATGGTATTGGACAATAACATGGTAGCAGAAACATACTGGGCGAGTAATATTGTCAGCTAACGGCAATGAAAGCCTGTTCTCTTGTTACCAAAGGCATCTGGCTATCTCTTATCAGAAGCCCTGGAACAGCAGTTTCTCCCAGCCTTGACTAAAAATAAACAGCACAATAGGCGCTCGCTACTACATCTGTGACATTTCGTAGTCCGCTCATCATCCAACGGAGCAGTTGATTAGCAGCATCGCATTGGCTGGGGTCGAGGTATTGCATCGCTATTTGTTTCCACCGGATCCAAAGGAAGTTATTCCTGCTTTGGGATAAGTTCTCCGACAGATGTGCTTTTCGTCACAAACCGGAACCCTAACTTTTCAAGGACTACACTGCACTTTCCCTCGTCGCATCACCGTATTGTAAGATAGTGTACATGATTACAAATACCGGTGATATGACTCCGAGCAAAGTCAACAAGTCATGCGCCTGGTGTCAGAAAAAAAGTTGAAGGCAAGCCGACTATACTCTACCCTCATTGGCATGGATGTTGAGAATAAATAGCAATTATTCCTATAGCTATTTATATGATATCAATAGTCTTAAAAAAACACCGCAAACCCTAGCACAAAATGGCTTCTCTCAACCCAACCATATTCTATCGTACCTAAATGGATGCGGTAAGTCGAGGCCAGTCTTGATAGGAGCAACCACAGGACAAGCTTCCAAACGTCTAATAACGCATTCGTAGCTGCCATTATGACACTTAATGAGGATAAATGTCTCCGCGAAAGTTGCTGTCAAGTCGGCCAGCATGGGCATCCAGCTGAAGGAGTACGTTCCTTGATTTTTCCATGCCGGTGGAGATGCTATCTGAATCCGAGAAAGCATGCTGTTAAGAGTCGCACGATCACTCAAAATTTGCAATACCAACTCTTGGGCGAACGGCTCCTTCGAATAGTCGTCGCATATCAGTGAACCATCTTTGTGTAGAACTTTGAAGTCCAGGAACCATCCCTCTACTATTAAACGCAACTGTCTGCTTTCATAGTTTGCAACTTGTATAATTTCCCACCAGGATCGGTCCCAGTCGAAAGCCCCATATCGACCGAAGTCGACCGTAACGTTCACCACCGTGAAAGGGCACATGTCACAAATGTTCCCGTGCTGTAACTGGATGTCAGACTGTGTCAAAAGTTTAGCCTCTGTTTGTGACTTCCAGCCTACCCACGACCAGCTGCGGAAAGATGTTCGACGCTGCAAGCCTTTCAAGGATACCGGTATATACATGACTTGTAGCAGCCATTTCGTCATTTCGCCCTGTTCAGGAGATATTGGTAGACCAATGAATGAAAACAGCCTCGTTCTATCAGGGCCCATCTCAAACTCTTTGAGTATACCGTTGAAAGCGTTGAGGGTGTCTGATTCGTATGAAAGCGATCTGGTCAAATAGTCGCTTAATCGTTGGTAAAACGCATCAAGGCCATCATAAATCTCCTCAGTGGGAAAGACCCTACCGAAATTTGGTCCCCATTCAGCATAAACTGGCACCGACTCCATGGGAAACCTGATTGATTCCAAGCAATGCATCGCTTGGCACTGAAAATAAACCTGCCGTGGGCCAAATATCAATCGTCTGTTGGACAAAAGACCCTCTTGAAAAGTCCAACCACGCGAGTTCCACGGAGATTCTGAGATTTCCTTTATTGGGTCCAAAGTAGCAACCAGCTGGACATTGCCAAGCTTGATTGACTGCTGTACATTCTTCTTCCTTGGACGCACCCCAGAAAGCCCAGTTGTGGCGTCCTCCCCGGTGGCTGCGACGATAGTCAAGACTGCGTGCTTATAAACCAAGTTCATACACTGGATCTGGATATGCTTGACGTTTTGATCCTTCTGGCTGATGCAGTATCGATCAACCCAAAGATAATTATATCCAAGATGCATTGTCACATATATCGCGTCAGCGATTGTTGCTGGAAGAAATTCGGGCAGTGTCATCGTCGGTGACCCAACTCCAGGCGCACTTCCCCATTTGTAACTAAGTGCGACAAACGGCTGGGGGGAGTTGAAGTCAAATGGAATGATGCGACGCTCTTTGCAGTTAATGACCCTAAAACCGGGTATGAAGGGTATAGAGCTGCGAACACAATAGTCCCGATGATTATTGTTGCAAAACTCAAGCCACCGTCTGGCTATTGATATATCGAATCGCTCACGAATCAGTCGCCCGGAGAAGTTACTGGAGCCTTTCGTGACGGGTAAGATACACGTGGCCCTTTCGGGCGGACCAAATTCTGCATCTGGCACTCTTTCAACCTTTGTGGGCAAGATTGCGAGCATGCGAGTATGCGAGACGCTCTGAGGGAGGCGGTAAACATCGCGCGGACAGAATGCATATAGCGAGTATGCCTTCGCTTTCTTATCCTTTGCGATAGTCCCCTGGCGATGAAGAACATCTGCTTTACTATTTAGGGGTCGCAAATCCTCAAGAAAACGACAGAAGTCGCAGTATGACACGAGATGAGGAGCATGTCGCAGACGTTCGAGGTCCAGAACTCTATAGTTGTGAAGAGGATCGACTGTCTCGCCAAGCTTGTTACGCGCATCCAACCCCTTGCGCTGGATATGATGGGGTCTCAAGCCTAATAGTCCGTTGAAATCGATGTTGCGGCAAAAACCGCACAGCCCGGATGTGTCGAGGCCACCGTGATACTCTTGTCGCGCCATGTACCATTACACTGCTGGCAAGTAACCAAAGCTTAGCATATATCTTATTCAAAGTGATCGCCCTGATGTGTTTTCAGTAGCTCAGTTATTAGTTTCAGAAGGAACCTGCCTAGATATAGATATATTCCGTTGCGTAAAAAGTAAACGCAGCGTACATATGACTTTATTTGTTGTTAGGTCAGACTGCCTCAGAGGGTTAATAATGCTGACAGATCGCCTTATACAGCACTGCCTCAATTTAGACTGTTTATCCAGCACTGCCCCAAGGCAGACGGCCTTACGCTGGGCTTACATGCACAAATTGGATTGATGCATTTTGCTTAGGTTTGGCTGAAGTTACAACCCTTTGTGTCTGTTGTATATTGTTACAAGTTAATATCTTTTTTATACCCTGAACAGATTGCATTTCAACCATTCGAGCTCAGTCTACATTTGTTCAACCTGTATTTGGTCTCAGTTATTTTTCTATAGTCACAACATCTCCCCTAAAACGCACGCAAAATACCGAATTCTAGGGCCGTGATGAGCCTCCAATCTCTCCACTAATAAATACAACCAGGACGGCCGCGTAACTAGGAAAGAATATTAGTATATTAACTGGAAGCCCAAAATTACGTTACTTACGCGGCTGTAGCTCCAAAGATTTCTGCAAGCCTTGCGTTTGTCAAAAGCCCAACACTCGCAGCAAACAGAACCGTGAAGAGGCCCACAAGGCCTAACTTAAGATCTGGAGAAGAAACCTTGTACAAAACTATGATTGCGCCTATTAGAAGCAAGGCAGCGAGGACGGTGCTGAGATACAAAACAAAAAGTTCGATTCTGGATTCCGAGGCATAACCAAGCCCCGAGATGTCCGGCCGTCCCTCGGGCAGCTTTTTCTACATGACAGGGCCCATATCAGCAAAGACTGTTATTTAGTTTAAACCGGCATCGTACTCACTACAAATATAAATCCTAGAAAATCTCGAAGAAAGGTAGAGAGGCGATCGCTTCGCCCTGGCGGGCGAAGAATCATCAGATCATTAATGTCGTCATATAAAAACGAGCTCTTTCCTCCCAAAATTGGGAAACTACCCTCGACTCTAGGCGGTCCATGGTGAAAGCCTAGCAAAAACGCTTTCAGCATCCTTCGATCAGGCGCGGGTTGAGATGCCAGAACACTCTCGTAACTCAGTAACCTTTCTGTACTTCATTAGTGGCAACCTAAAAATGTTTTTCACTTTTCACTTACTATATTCCATCATATTCTTTTGGATGTCTTCAATAAGCTTGGCTCTCTGTGGATAAATCTGCCACTTTTCTTTGTACGTTGTCCAATTTCGGGCACATGGCGAACCCCTATCCTCCTCGTCGAACGCATCAAGTTGGGCTTGAAGCTCGGCCAATTCGCTTTCCAAATATAACAAAGTTCGCGCAGTCAAGCGATCAAAGCGTTTGAATATTAGTGCTGTCCGGTCTGGGTCGCTTGCCATGAAGGCAGCCAACGAGGGGTACCCATCTGGATATTCCCTGCCAGGCATTGTATGTACATACTCGGGTATCGTAGAAGAATTAGGAATGACCTAGTAAAACGTGAGACGTTGATGCTTTTTTGGAGCATGCAATGCTGCGGGGTAAAATGTCGCAGCTGATAATCGGGCAGCGAACGAAGATGCCTTGTGGTCCGCCTGGGCAGTGCTACATCATCATATGACTTTGCCTTGCATCATCTCTTCTTCAATCTTGGATTCTCCGCGTACATCTACGATGACTCTACCAAAATATTCTTTCAATAGCCCTTTAAAACAAAGGTATTATTAGATGGACAAGATCATCGTCATTTGAAGCCTCGATCATGGAGCTGCGCCCTGGTATTGATGAGTCGGTGATCTTCTACACAAAAGAGGGGCACGATTCTTCCTCACCACCGTTGAAGCCATTCATCCCCGATCTAGAACCGGGAACAGACTGTGAAATCTTGGCACCTAATGATTTCTTAGAACCAGACGAAGAGAACATTGTGAGTGAGAACAGGATGAAATGCTCAGATCAGTCCAGCAAAATTGATATGCTAATGCTGTCATAGGCCGAGCCGTGGGACGCAGGCCTCAGACTCAGGCCAAAGCCGGCAGAAACATGGTCTCTCCGAATCGAAGAATGGATCGAAGAGTCAAGTTTTACATCAGGTTCAAGAAAACAAGCAGCATCTTGGAATGATGGGCTGCTACTCGCGCATATGGCTACCGACCATGGATACGATGCTGTCGCAGAGGGTCGTCGATATCAATTGCCTGGTATTGAAGACAGCACATCGAATGAGCGGATCGATTCTTTAGCACATAGCTATCAATACCGAAGTCCCTTTGAAAATCGAGTTCCAGCTTTCGATCAAAAGTGAGGATTGAATTCCTTCCACAGATGAGCAAAGCAGCTGACATTTTCACCCTAGTCCAAAGCGAGCACGAACAGATCGTTCCAAGTCATCAGCACTCAAGACTATAGACAAAACTGTGCAGCCCAGAGCTCTTCTCAGAGAAATTAGCTCTCGGCGTCGAAAAGTGTTACCTATGATGTTTGAGACGAAGTGCGAAAGGATTAGCATTGCCGCATGTCCCGATACTGGCTCAGATGTCAACATCATATCTTTGGAAACAGCCCGGCGCTTGGGCTTCAGTTCAGACATTCGCAAAACTGAAGAAGTCGATTTTCGTCTTGCCAATAACCAGCCTATAAAAGCTATCGGCCAGGTGGATATCGCCTGCTCTTTTGGAGCTGGGACGCCTTGGCATGACCAAAGTCTATATTGCATCTTTCAAATTTTCAACTCTCTGTCCGTTCCTTTGATCATGGGCATGCAGTTCCTTGAAATGACAGAGACTTACTCGAAGTATCAGGACCGTCTAGTTGAAGAGACGGTTCCACGCATGCACTCTTTACAAATCAGTTCCGTTGGGAGGCCAAGAAAGAGTTTAATATGTCGGCTAAATGCGTTTGTTAGCTTAGCTACCGCAGATACTGGCTCTGACATAGACCTTATCAGTGCCGACTACGCTAGAAGCAGAGGATTCCAAATTGATGAAGTTTTTCACAACATAATGCTCGCTGACGGTACAGTGGAGCAAACATGTGGTTTGATACGAAGCTCATTCACGGTTGGGTTGGTTGATGATGTCCGAGGATTCATTTCAAAGAGCCAAAATATTAGTATTGATTTCTTCGTGTTGTCAAATCTATCATCAGATGTGTTGATTGGGCAAGACACTATCGAGGAACTCAATATTTTTGCTAACTACTCTGAATCCTTTGTTCCCAACATATCTCTAACAGGGGAATCCGACGTCAATATCATTCGCTACATTGGCAAAGCAGAGAGAGCTGGGAAAAGATTATGGGCTCAAATACGAGGCGACAATCAAACTAGCAACCCAAGTTCAGGTATTGTTAGCTTTCTGACACAAGGATTCTTACACTAACCGAATGTACAGCGGCAGACATAGAGCGCAAATGGGAACTTGATGATCAACGAGAGAATGCCCGTCGAGAGGCCCGCCATGCAGAGATCGACCAAATGGCGGAGGAACATAGAGAAGCTGCGAAAATGGCGGAAGCCACCAGAATTAGCAATTATGAGGCCACGAAGACGGCACGGAAGGGGCCGGAGTCAAAGTAAGTAGGCTGCTTCTCCCACGCCAAGGTCCGCTCACTAATATCTGGACTTCAGTTTAAGGAGTGGCTCACCCAATTATGACACCAGATCTACAATAGCCAATTATGGCCAAAGGTCTGTTTGTTTTACAGAAAAAGATCATATCCGCCCTAAATCCACCCTAATTTCTGACTAATGGTGATCCAGCCCCTCGTCTGTGGACGAGTCTTCTTTTGAGACAGACAGTACAACGTCCGCCTCAGGACAATACGTGTGTTCGTACAGCGGCTGTACTGCACCACCATTTCAAACTCAATATCTTCTAAACTCGTAAGCGTCTCGTACACTCTGTTAGATTAGACTCAGGCTACTAACAGCAATTCCCGTAATATAGACATGCGAATTTTCACAGCTCGTCGAGGCCGCATTATTGCCCACACATCGGATGCCCGCGGAGCGAAGGTGGCAAAGGGTTCAAAAGAAAGAATGAGATGATTAGACATGGAATCGTCCATGATTCCCCGGGTTATCATTGCCCATTCTGCCCTGATCCGGCTCCCCGATACCCTCGACCGGACAATCTCCAGAGGTAAGCATTGAGCCATCCGTTTCTTACAAAGAAATCTGATTTTGAGCTCATTGAATTTTCGGCAATAGGCACGTGCGTGTTCATCACCCAACCCACGACAAGGACGATTCTCAGTTACGAGAAGCCTTGTCGGAAAGATTCCCCAAACGCCCTGAGCGCGGACGGCGTTGAACCGGCTTTGTTGAGGAACTCATATAGCTTCATCTTTATCCTGTCTACCTGTGTTTGGCCAGTCAGGTATACGGCATTATTTGATCTTGTATTTTCGAGGTATAGGTCAAGTACCGTTGGTCCAACTAACTAACCCTGCCGCGCTGAAAGAGCACTTCAAAATATCACAACACATGCAGGGGGTTCCAGTGCGGATAATCCGGGCCAATATTACCCAGTAAGATGGCTGGCTCAAGGCATAAATTACGTCGTGCCAAACCATCATTGCCCAAAACGATGCAGCTGCCCCAAATCCAAGAGCGCGTGGCTGCAGCGCCATTGGTGCCAAGAGCATTATATTGGTTTGCTCCGCTGATCCTGCCTGCAAACAGCGGGCACCCGGCAACTCCCAAACTATTGGATGATCAGCAACCGTTTCGGTATATTTCAGGCTGGCTGAGCAACCTGAACGGATTATGCACCCAATCAGACCTACTAAGTTGCGTATCAGTCTGCGACTGTATGCAGCCAAAGGCAATAAATCACCGTGTACAGCTTAGGTCTGAGGTAATAGCCAAATCATGATAGCTGAGAAGAAGTTGACTTGTTTCCCCAGTGGGTCATCTGGACTAGCATATATATGAAGATGGCCTCAAGAAATCTAGAGGTTTCAACAACCGACAGACGAAAACATCATTGACACAAGGAACGCGCCTTAACATCATTTTAGTTTCCACGTATTTTTATCACTGCCGTAATGACCGAAAATTAAGTCACTCCAGTTTCTCTCAAGTCTCAGTGGGCTAAGCATCTAGTCCGCCTGAAGCTGGCAGATGAATTGAATGAGCTTCAGTCGAGATATAGTTCTCTCTTCGGCTCATCACCATTGCCCATGCTGGGCGCTGGCCCCGTCACCCATGATCACCTCCCAACTGACCCAGTCTATGAGGATGATGACACCAAAGACGCACTCGACGGAAGTTCGCCTCTCGACTCTGTTGTTATCCCTCCCCGCAAGGTCTGCATCATCAGTGCTGGTGTGGCAGGGCTTTACATCGCCATGATCTTGGACGACCTCAGAATCCCCAATCTCACCTACGACATCCTCGAGTCCAGCTCGAGAGTCGGCGGCCGGGTGCTCACCCACAAGTTCAGCGATGCTCCGCACGACTACTACGACATTGGCGCCATGCGATATCCCCAAATTCCCATCATGGATCGAACTTTTGACCTTTTCAAACGCACCAACGTCCCGCTCATCCCGTACTATCTTGACGGTGAGGCCTGCCCCAAGCTCTTCAACGACCGTCTCTATGTCGAGGGAGAGAAGGACCCTTACCACGTCGGCGTCCGAAACGGCGGCTCGGTCCCCGACCACGTTGTTGATAACGTCACGGACTGTCTGGACAAGGCATTCGGCCCCTTCAAAAAAGCTTTAGCCCATGATTTCAAATCTGGGTGGCAAGCGCTCATGACAGTCGACGACTTCAGTACGAGGGAATACCTCAAGCGCGGCGGGCCGAGGGGTACAGAGCCCAAGTACGATTTCTTTTCCATCCAGTGGATGGAGACGCAGGACACCTCGACCAACCTGTTTGATCAGGCTTTTTCGGAGAGTGTAATGGACTCGTTTGACTTCGACTATCCCCAAGAGGAGGACGTCAAGTGGTCCTGCATTGAAGGGGGTACACACCTGCTCACAAAAGCCATGGAGAAGAGCCTGAAGACACGAGTGTCAACGGGTAAGCGCGTCGAGGCCATTTCCATCGACAGGTCGTTGCATCAAGATGGGAATATGCGCGTCAAGTGCGCTGACGAAGGCATGCGCGAGGGCTATAGTACCGTCTTCAACACGGCGCCCCTTGGGTGCGTCGGACGTATGGACTTGACCAAACTTGACCTCCACCCTTCGCAGAAGGACGCCATCCGCAGCTTACACTATGATGACTCTGTCAAAGTTGCTCTCAAGTTCAGCCAGCCCTGGTGGATAACCAAATGTGGCATCAAGTCTGGGGGCGTGAGCAGCACTGACCTCCCCCTTAGAACATGCGTCTACCCGTCCTACAATCTCCACGACGGCGCGCACAAGCCGGCCGTCCTCCTTGCCTCGTACACATGGTCGCAAGACGCCACGCGCATGGGGTCTCTCCTCAACCGGCCTGGCTACCCCCCGAGCGAGGAGGAGCTGGTGGAGCTCATCCTACGGAACCTCGCCAAGCTGCACGAGTCGACCATCACCTACGACGAGATCAGGAAGGCCTACACGGGGGTCTACAACGCCTATTCATGGTCACACAACCCCAACAGCGCGGGGGCGTTTGCACTCTTCGGGCCGGGCCAGTTCAGCAACCTGTACCCGTATCTGTCCCGGCCGACTGCGGATAGCAAGTTCCACTTCGTCGGCGAGGCAGCGAGTGTACACCACGCCTGGATCGTGGGCGCGCTGGACAGTGCCTACTCTGCCGTGTATAAGTTCCTGTATCGGTTCAAGCTCTATCATCATATCGCCATACTCCAGAGAAGATGGGGCGATGTGGAGGAGTTGGAGACGGGCAAGCACGGGACAGTTCATCTTCAGGTTGCCTTGGGGGCTCTTCAAGAGAAGTATAAAATTCAAGTGTAGTTCTTGATAATATTCAGTAGCTATTCGATCTATTGTAGCCTATTGTTTAAGATATTTAAGATGTTAATATTATGTCTCTTGTAAAGCTACCGGAACATTGACCTTCTTTGAACCCTTACAGATCCCTTACTCAAAAGAAGCTTAGTTCGTTCAGTAAGCTATTACCCAGGCCAGAAGGTGGCTATTATGGAAAAGGCCAGAATACAACTCTAAGTGGCATAAACCCAGAGATACATATTCCCTCGATAGCGTTATGACATATCTTGTTACAGATAGCAGTTTTGAGTTTAAAAAACTAGGGCCGTATCACATATCCCCGGTCCTGCATAGTACGAAGCCCCAGTTCGAGTAGGTCGTAAAGTGAACATGATGTACATACATCTATTTGGCAAGGTGGGTGGGGATGTGACAGCATGTGTTGGCACCCCACGCAACCTTCTCAACTCAATTCAAGCCAATGTAAAGCTGGCCAGATAGCTGGTCTAATAATGTGGTGTACAAGTTTCGACTGGCCTTCTCCTCATCAACATGCGACTTTCCACACCTTTTCTTAACTTTTATCCGTGCAGTTGCGTCACAGGGAGGACGGGCACTACACAGAGTGTCAAGTATCCATGGAGTCTTGGCTCTGGAGCGGTCGTTCAAGGTCGCAACCGAAGCAAACTCTATGTCCACATTGGCTAGAGCAGGGGTTTTCTGGTCTTGCAGCTGCATGATAATCTTCATCGGCGAGTTCCCAGCCCACTTTCGGAACGTCGGCGCGAATTTCATGAAGTGGTGGTAGCAGCAATCGTTTCATTGCCGGATACTAGATTTAACCTCTGTAGCATCAAGGAAGGCGCTTATACTCTTGTCATGTGAAGCCCGGATGAATAAATAGTAGAGCACCCCTCATCACCTAGATGAAGAAGTCAGCACCAGCTGCAAGTGAGTAATACGTTAGTCACATGTCAAATCTCAGTATCAATCGGCCAACTAGGAAGCAACCTCTTTCTTTCCACGTTGCTCTTTGCTTATCACAGGGGGCACATACCACGCTATGGCGATCGAATTCACCGTATTCAAGGGCTCCAAGTCTGGAGATATTGTTGAAGCCAGGGGCTCACGCGAGGTTGGCCCCACGGAGGCACTTATCAAGATCACGCACAGCGGTGTCTGCTTTACAGATGAGCACTACCGCCATGTAGACCAGGGACTCGGCCATGAGGGTGTGGGGACGATCGTGGAAATCGGATCTCGCGTCCATGAAATCTCAGACTTCAAGGTTGGCGACCGCGTCGGCATGGGCTGGTTCCAGAAGTTCTGTGGCCATTGCAAAGTGTGCGTTAGAGGTACGTCTAAAGCTTGGTCTTGCCAAATCCTGGTCGAACATCAAACGACAAAGGCTAACTTCCAAGATAACAATAGGGAGGCAGAACCTGTGCGTCCACAATGAGCAGTTTGGTACTGCCAACCACGACCAGGGTACTTTTGCCACTGGCATCGCCTGGGACGTATTGGCGCTCTTCAAGGTCCCCGACGGAATTGCCTCTGAAGATGCCGGTCCCCTCATGTGCGGCGGTGCCACTGTCTGGGATCCTCTGTTCAGCAACGGCGCCAGAGCTGGTGACCGTGTCGGCATTGTGGGCATCGGTGGCCTCGGTCACCTCGCGATCCAGTTTGCCAGCAAAATGGCTTTCCAGGTTGTCGTCTTTTCCCGCTCAGAGTCCAAACGCGAAGAGGCCGTGAGCTTTGGTGCTACCGAGTATCATGCTACCCAAGGAAGAGAGTCCCTTGAGGGTATCACTCCTGTAGACTTCCTCCTGATCACCGCCAACACCCTCCCTGACTTGACGCCGTAAGTGCCAGCCACTCTTCCTTGAGTTTGAATAGCTTCTAACGTGGACACAAGCTATGTTCCCATTCTCGCCAAGTCTGCCAAGGTCTTCCCACTGACCATCAGCCAAGGTAATATCGTGTTCCCCAGCCTCCCCCTCGTCCTGGAGGGCATCAGCATTGTAGGATCCCCCCTCGCGCCTATCGGATCTCAGCGACAGATGCTCGAATTTTCCGCCCTTCATGGCATTAAACCACAGATTGAAAAATTCCCTTTGACTCAGACTGGAATTACCGATGCTATGCAGAGGCTCAGGGACGGAAAGATGCGATACCGTGGCGTCGTGATCGTTCCATGAGACACTAGGAAATGAGCCATAGCAATATAAAGTCACCATCAAAAGAGTTACAGTCAAGGATGTGTTCATTAACCGTGGCCAGGCATCATCACACGTGAAAAGCGCATTTCGGAAATATCTACTTATTTGCCCGTGGAGTTGTCTGTGATATCCCAAACCCTCTCTCCATGCAAATCCATACGTAGTCATTGCATCGCAGGACTCGACATCATCAGTATCGGTCT